ATGAGGAAATGGAATGAACATGAGAAGGAATCTAGAAGAAAAGGAATAGGAAATAGAGAGAGAACATGAAAAAGAAAGTGGAATAAAGGGAGAAGAAGGAAATGGAGAGAAATAGGAAGTAGAAAAAGTGGTAAAAGAAAAAATGAAGGTACAGATAGAGAGGAAGTATATTTATATAGACATTGAATTATTCTCCAATGCATTGCACTTGAAATTAATCTAAGTTTTCAAAATTAAAAGTGAAAAGTTGACATTTCTAAATTTTTCAGTGATTGGATGGCAGAGTGCACTTATTTTCTAGTGCAATGCACTAGAAAATGAGTTGAATTTTGAAAATGATAGAAGAGAAGGTCGCATTTCAAAATTTCTTGGTGTAAAATGGTGCGATACTTATTTTCCAGTGCAATAATTTGAAGTTTGCATAAATAGCATTTCAGAATTGGGAGGGATGGCAATAATGCTTATTTGCCAATGCATTGCACTAGAAAATACCTCAAATTTTGGAAATTTAAAGAGAGCACTTAGCACCTTTATTTTTTTGGAAATGACACAAAATTAGTTCCTAGAGGGAATGACAGCATTTTGTAAATTTCTAGTAAAATCACAACATACTTATATTGCAATCATATATCACAAGTGTTTTCTAACATGGTATACTACAAAATGTTGCTACTAGAATGCATTGTATTGAAATAATGAGTCTAGAGATAATAAAAACACACATAAGAGAAAATATCCCTAGTTGTTTTCAAATAAAAATGCTAGTACCTATTGACATATTCATTATATAAAGCTCCATATATATATATACACACACACACAAAATATGTCACAAAATATGTAATGTTCAAAATACCAAATATGAAATTATAAATAAACTAAATATGTAATGTTCCATATTGAATACCTTAAAATACTTTATACTAACCTAAAGACACAAAATATATTTCATATCCACACAAGTTATGTGGAGGGATTCTCATTAGGTGCAATAGCTTCTCTAGATGTAATGGGGGTGCCACTAAAGGAACATGTCCCTTCTCAAGGTAATATGCCAATGTTGTGTAATCAATAGTAGTTCCTCCCTAAAAGCTCAATTCTGCTCCTCTAAAATAGTCACCTTATTTTGGAGTTGGACAACATCATTTTTCCTGGCAATGTTCAGACTGTCACTATGGTTCTTCTGATAATGTTTCTACATGTATATGCTTCTAGATTCTGGCCTCTCATGTTGTGGTAACCCAACTAAAAAACCTCTTCGAGGCCCTCCTCTTATATCAACCAAGGCACACCCATATATCCCATCATCCATTTGCCACTGTGTGCTATTAGGTGTCTTAAATTCTTGTGTCATTCATGACACTACACCATTCTGAAAAAAAAAAAAAAGAAATTGAAAATTTAATTTCAAATAATATTATTTATTTATATCAAAATAAAATTTGACAAAATCTCCCCTAAAAATAAGACTTAGCCCCTATTAGCAAATAAATTAACACCAAATTCCATTATAAAGAACACTTATTTAACATCTAACTCCATCATTCAAGTCATTCATTAAATATCTATAAATCATATGATAGATGACATTGTTTTCTTTGCTTACCAAATAAATGTAAAAAATAAATTTTTAGAAGTCATTTTCTATAAATAAAAAGATCCTTAATATCACGTATTTGCCTTATAGGTTGGCATGAGATTGTTGAAGGTTAACTAACATCATGTCAATCATAATCTTGATTAGTCTTTAGGATTAACTGTTCAATAAGCATGGGAAAATAGAGGTTTCATAGAGGTTTTGGGTTCAAATCTATGGTTTTGTAGAGAAATTCAAAGGAAGTAACATTATTTGATTTGAGAAAAGAATAGAGATAGATTACTTATGTGGCACATAAGTACATTAGATTAGAGAACTAGAAACTAATTATCAAAATGAATAATAGTTCACAATGGAAACATACTAAGGGAATTTAGAGAGAATGATTTTATAGACGGTATATTAGCACACAAAATTAGCACTCAAGAATGAAAGAATTGTTCCTAGTTTTGTTTCACTACCATGACTATACCAAAATCGTTTTCATTTTTTAATTAATGACAAAAAACTAGCATTTTTATTTTTTAAATTAATTTGATTAATATTTTAAATTTCAGATTAAGTTCTTGTGTCATTCATGACATTACACCATTCTACAAAAAAAGAAAAAAAAAGAATTGAAAAATTAATTTAAAATCATATTATTTGTTAATATCAAATGAAAATTTGACAAAATCTCCCTTAAAATTAAGACTTAGGCCATATTATCAAATAAATTTAACACCACATTCCCTTATAAAGAACACTTACTAACATGCAACTCCACCATTCAACTCATTAATGCACAACTCCATCATTCAACTCATTCACTAAATATTTATAAATCATATGGTAAATGACAGTTTTTTTATCAAATTCAATTCAACACTATCAAACATAATATAAAATTTAATTTTGAGTTTATATATACTCCAGTAAAACTAATCAAACTATCATAAGGTAAAAAATGATCATATAATATTTACCACAATTGTCTCAACAACCATATTACAAAACATGCATGGTGCTTCTTGGGTGGGACCAGGTTTGGAATGCCTGTGCATGTAACCATCTAGGCGAGTTGGTGACTGATTGTTAGGCATTTGAGCTTTTTAGAATATGAAAGAATTTTGAAAGTTATTAGTTAACTAATTAGCTTTAAAATATGTTAATGAACTAAATCAAAAGTAAGAGTTGAATGTACTCATCGAAAAAAAGAGAGTAAAAGTTGAATGTACCAATTTTTCCATGTACTTCTTATGTGACATGAAGCCCCCAATTTGAGTCACAATGGGTCTTTTTTCCGATTTGTCCATGCAATATTTGATGCTTTCTTATCCTTTTCGTCCTTTGTCCAAATCTTTACAGGGGGAATGTATGATGGCATTTTCTAAAATTTGTCCTTAGCACACCAAGCCTTCAATTTGGACACTGTTCATCCTTCTATTATACTCTACCAACCAAGCATTCCGTATAACCCCTCAATCTACTTACTCCCATTGCAATGTCACCTAAAATAATCTTAATATTAACCATGTTTGAGCGTACAAGTTAATCATAATACTAAAACTCAAATTCATAAAGTACTTACATAGAATTTGTTCCAATATATATCTGAATATGGGGGAGTCACCATACCCCAACCTGTGTATGATGACAGCAAGCATGTCGCTAGCTGTGAGGAGATGGTGTTGCGTACCTTATTTGGAAACATCCCTTGTGGCAATCTCCCTTTCTCATCATTGTGGATCTATATCCGATTAGCTAGGTTCCTTGGCGTTTCATACCCTTTTCCAACTCTCGGACCTCTCTTCCTTGGGAGCTCTTCATGATCAAAATCAATCCCAACATCTTGTTGTTTTGAGGTAGGAATGACTTGTTCAGGGCTTACCAGTTCTGAAGAAGGTGTTTGATCCTCTCCCAACTGTGGTGTGAGTATTGGGTTGCATGGTTTTGGTGACCTAGGTCTTTGGCCTCATGTCAACATTGGTCAGAATAAAATAAATAAATAAAATAAATAAAAATTATATGTGAGTTTATGGGCTACTTTTGTTTTATTGATTAGTAAGCAATCATTTTAACATTTAAATCATCATTTATTAGATGTATGATATTGTGAAAATGCCAATTCATTTGAACTTAATTTTTTTTGAATTTTTCTAACGTGCACATTTTTATTTGAAGGATCATGCCAATTCATTCCTCTAAGTTGTAGTCTAGCCTTGGGTTTACTTTGCAACTTAACAAAATCAAAGGGGATAAGTGTAAGGTGGAGGACTGTTTGCATTGCAAGCATTTAGTCTATTTAGCTGGTATGTAATGAAAGGATATTTAAAGGAAATCAAATTGATATGGAAAGAGTATTCAAACTTGCGTAGTTGAGATTATTTCATTAAGTCAAAGGAATGTTGGGTCGGGGGCTGTTGTTTTAGGTTCTTTGAGTGCTCTCATGAGCCAAGACTATGCATGCTAGCAGGTAAAAGGGAACAAAAATAGATGCAGTTATATGGGTGGGAGTGCTTTCAATACAGATTTGGTTCCCATGACATTGTAAACTTAATTAATCTCATCTTAACATTTTCTTGTAATATATGGATTTGAATACCCCTTGAACTCATATTAATAACATTGTCGTTCAAAAAAAAAAGTATATTTGTATTTAATGCGTATTTGGTTTATTAAGTTATATAAAAAAATAAAGTTAAAACTTTAATTTCAACAATTAACTAATTAAATTAATATATGTGATATTAATATTAAAATTAATATCAATCTTTTAGATTTTTTATATAATTTAAGGATTAAAATATATATTAATTATACCCTTAAAGCACAAATTAAAAAAATCTAATTTCTTTTCTTATCACTTGCAGCATAAGCTACATTAGATAGGGCACTAAAATTCATGGAACTAAAATCTAAAATTATTAATTAGAGATCTCATATTCAATATCTATCAATTTTTGAGATAGAGATAACATTTTTTATTATTTAATTTATTATTTAATGAAAAAAATACAAACTTAGTTTTGGGTCCATCCAAATCCTTAAACAACTAGAATTAAATGATAGAGATAAGACATTTTTTCATTTAATTTGACGAACAATGTTTCATATATATCCTTTCCTTTCCTTTTAGTTTTCTTAATCCAAACAAAATATACATTCTACAAAAAATTCAAGTAATATTTTGGTTAAAACCCTTTTTTGGTCCCTGAACTATTGTACGGACCCCTGATTTGGTCCCTACTGTTTACCATTTTTACCCCGATTTGGTCCTTCCGTTAAAAATTGTGTGACGTGGCCCGTTACTTCACAGTTACCAGATGACAAGTCATACAATAATCCACGTGGAAGATAATATAGTAAAAAAAATGATGATGTGGAAAAAATAATAATATAAAAAAATATTATAAAAAATAAAACTTAAAAAAAAAATTTATCTTTTTTTCTTTTCTTTCTCCTCCTTTTCCTTTCTCTTTCTCCTTCCCCTTTCCCTTCTCTTTCCCCTCGAAACCCAACAGGCCTAGGTTCCTTGCAAACCAACCCAGGCGCTGGGTTCCTTGCGAACCCAGGCGCTGGGTTCCTTGCGAACCCAGGCGCTGGGTTCGCAAGGACGCTTGCTTGGGTTCGCGTTCCTTGCAAACTGCGAACCCAACGCCTGGGTTCGCGTTCCTTGCGAACCCAGCGGCTGGGTTCGCAAGGAACCCAAGCGTGCTGGGTTCGCAAGGAACCCAAGCGTGCTGGGTTCGCAAGGACGCTTGCTTGGGTTCGCATTCCTTGCGAACCCAATGCCTGGGTTCGCAAGGAACCCAAGCGTGCTAGGTTCACAAGGACGCTTGCCTGGGCTCGCACCGAACCCAGCATGCCTGGGTTAGGTGGAACCCAGCACACTTGGGTTTGGTTCCTTGCAAACCCAGGTGGTTCGCAAGGAACCCGAGTGCAAAAAATTAAAAAAATTGGTTGATTGTGATGAAGTTGTTTTTTGGATATTGTTGTTTGTTCAAATGTGAGGACATCAACATTGGTGGGTTGAGGTATGGGTGGGTCATTGTCCTAGAAAAAGCCTAATCTTGTTCCATTAAAAGCTCTAATG